CGGCCTCATCCAAGTAGCTCTCTACGTAGTCGTGCACAATGTAGGGAATGCTATTCCTAGACATGGCCACGGGGCGAACCAGCCCGCCGAACCGGCCCGAACCCGGCCCGAACCCGGCCCGACCCGAACCGGACCCAGATCGGAAAAGCCAGTTTTCGAACCGGAACCGGACATCTAGAGGGCCGGTCCCGGGCCTCTTCGGTCAAAAAAAAACCCGGCGGGCCGGGCCGGGTCCGGTCCGGGTTCCAGGTTTTTGAGCCAACGGTGTTTTTATAAAATCGGGCCGGCTTGGCCCGGAACCGGCTAGACCCGCCGGGTTTGCGACCCGGCGGTTAAGGGCCGGTTCAGTGAACCGGCCCTTAGTTACAAGCGGGCCGGGCCCAGTTCACTACACGGTGAACCGCCGACCCGGTGGGCCGGGCCGGGTTTCGACCCGGCCCGGCAAATGGACACGTCTAGCTATTCCAATACCGGTAACCGAAGAAGTCTGTCGAGAACGTCTCTATAATATCACAAACATTTCACGTCAGAATATATATATAATCGAATTTATTTATGAACATAATTTGATGAAGTGATTAAAACACAAAAAAAAATTAATTTAGAATTCAACCTGTCGGTCCTTCTGAACGCTGAGAAGACGAGCTTGTCGGTGCTTGTGACGAAGTGCTTTTACGGCCAACCGGACGACCTCTTTCCCGGTACTCCCAGACACATGGATCACGTTTCGTTGAATTTCTCTTTTTTGGTCGGCCTCGCGTGTTTTCCTTCACCTCAGGTTCTCCGTAACCTTGTTGGTCAAAGTAAAAAATCATTAGTGTTATATTAAATGTGAGTGTTATATTAAATGTTTTTGTGCAATTTTGAATAGGTGGACTGTAACCTTGTTGGTCAGGGTGAAGCTGAGAGTAAATGTACTGATTCAAATGACGCACGGTCGCAGGATTGGCCTCTTCGACCTCCTCCGCAAGGCTCCAAAAATACGACAGGGTCTGTCCACCCAACCGTCGATGGCCGTGCACCACTCGTGGATGGTCGTGCACTCGTGGATAGTCGTGCACTACTCTGGGCATCTGTTCGTACAACCAAATTTAAAACATTAAACATCATAACCTATATATAAATTATATATATATATATATATATATATATATATATATAAACAGTACGTGAAGTATAAAAAAATAAACGCAAAAAAAAAAACATTCAATTTAATATCACAATTATACCTGGCTCCTCAAGTGTTATCCAGAACTCGTGAATGTCGTCCGTGGTAATTGGGTTATTAGCATTACACGTCATACTCATGTAACAGGCACAAGAAAGTCCATGCGTCCATCTGAGTGCGCACCCGCAGCGCGTCGTAACCTCATCGCTCAAGTCTCGCATCCTCTTATACTCTTCGTTCAATAACTCCAAAAAATAATGCGAGACCCTCAGTGTTAGCTGTGAGAACGGGAATCCGGTGTAATGGTAACTACGTTTGTTCCGGCACTCCTCCAGCGTGGCCCTGATAATAGATTGCATGAAGATGAATTTATAATTAACTAGTATTCGATCATGTGCACATGCACAGATGCAAATAAAATTTTGTATGTTATATGTATGTGTACGTAATATTTAAAATCAGAAGTTAGATAATAGCATATCAAATTTTATATATTTTATCATTAATAAAAATGAACGATGTCAAAATTGGCTGGATAAAAAATTTTGCAATCTTTATTTAGTATGAACAAAATTGACTGGATAAAAAAGAATATTATTGTTATAAGAATTGTGTTCGAAAATTTAATAAAAATTAAATAATTAATGTTAGTAAAAAATACTTGTTTAATGAGTTAAAACAAAATAAAAATAAAAATCACATAAATAGTTTGAAAAAATGTTTAAATTATAATACCAGTTAATGTGATTTTAGATTGCTTATGAGTAGTTATATAATAAAACTGCAAAAAAAATATAAATATATAGATACATGAATAGCACAATAAATATGTGTAGCTTAATAAATTAACGTACCTGATTTGAGTGTGTTGGGACTCAATCTCCTTGTGAGCCTTCTCCCACACTGTGTCAAGAGAACCGGTGGACGTGTTAAGCCACTGCTTCAACACATTGTGGGAACTCTCCACCCTACATGACGTGGTGTTACCCAAATGCAGGAAGTGATTCGTCCACGCTTTGACAAATTTTTCCTTGTGGACTAACCACGTATCCTCTACGTACTGTATAACAAGAGGGAACTTCTTGTACCGAAGCTGCATGTCCTTCACGGCAGTGTCGTACTCGACCACCGTGCTCGCTTCAATGATCTTCTTCCACCGACCACGCGTGAACATCTCGGCGAATTGACTATTTTTGTGGGTGATTTTATAGACCCTCTGTTCCACATCCTTGTTGATGGCAACGTGCAAAGAAGATGGGCAGACATCGAAAAATTAGTCATAATAGGATTCATCAACCCCATCTCCCTGTCAGTGACAATGACTGAAGGATGTACATCATACCCAATCAGATCACTCAACCGCTTCAGAACCCAGTCGTAGCTGTTCTGGCTCTCGTCCTTCACAATTGCATATGAAATCAAGAAATTCTTGTTGCACGGCGTCATCCCTATTATTTCCACAAGCGGCATCTTGTACCTGTGCAAATGAGGGCAACAAAATCAAACAAAGAATAAAAAAACGTACATACTCAGACATAATAATTAAGATTCGTACTAAATTGTTATTTATAAATTAACGTACCTGTTGGTTTTGTACGTCGAATCTATACCGACGTACCAATAATATGTCTGAAAGAGAAGGGCTGACTGGGGATGCGACATGAACACACGTGTCAAGGTGTGTGTGTCCTTATCAGAATCGGTGAAAACTATGTAATTAGCCCGGGTAGCCAGATGCATAAGCTGAGAAGTCACATCTCTGCCCTCGAAACTCTCTGATCGGATTCTAGCCCTATAGTTGTAAACCTGTTGACGAACCGCGTTGTCAGACGGGTATTTCTCCTGTATCGCTGCCAATATTACCGCCGGTCTTGCCTGGGCAGCTGCCATGTCACGGACGATC